AACGATCCTAAAGTTAAAGCACTGATCGCCAGTAAAGATCAGCAATTCGATTTAATCGTTTTGGAGCAATTCTTCCATGAGAGTTTTTTGATGTTTGCGCACAAATTTAAATGTCCCGTTGTGACGCTGGGCACTATGGGTTATGCGGACAATATGGATCATACGATGGGCTTACTTACACCTTGGGCTTTTATACCGCATCTACTGCTCTCGCATACAGATCAAATGACCTTCACGCAACGTGCCTACAATACTTATCTATCATTATACGATGCTGTGATGCGTCGCTGGTATTATATGCCTAAAATGCAGGAAATGGCTGAGCGGCATTTTACCGGACTGGTAGAGGGTCCCTTGCCGCATGTACGGCAATTGGAGAAAAATATTTCGTTAATGTTGATCAATAGTCACCGTAGTCTGGATGTGCCGCGTCCCAGTATGCCCGGGCTTGTAAATGTCGGCGGTGTGCATATAAAAACACCCAAGCCACTGCCACAGGATCTACAGGTTTGTCACAGAAACCCAAATTTATACTCGCTCTTATTTTGCTATTTACATTTACTCAATTTATAGAATTACCTGGACAACGCTACCCACGGTGTAGTTTACTTCAGTCTCGGTTCTTATATGAAGAGTATAGATATGCCTAAGGAAAAGATCAGCCTGATACTTAACGCCTTCGGTCAGCTGAAACAGAATGTTTTGTGGAAATTCGAAAACTCCTCTATTGGTCATCTGCCGCCGAATGTGAAAATCCAGAGCTGGTTGCCACAAAATGATATACTCGCTCACCCGAATATCAAGGTCTTCATCACACATGGTGGCATCTTTGGCACGCAAGAGGGCATTCACTGGGGTGTGCCGATGTTAAGCATACCTCTCTATGGCGATCAACATCGGAACACGATCAAATCGGTGCGTGGTGGATATGCGCGCACATTAAACTTCGGTCAAATGACGAGCGAGGATCTGGTACAGAATATACGATTGCTAATCAGTGATGCCAGTTACAAACAAAAGGCATTGGAAGCATCACGCAAATTTAGAGATAATCCAATGCATCCTTTGGATGAAGCTTCATTCTGGATCGAATATATTGCGAGGCACAAAGGTGCTACACATTTGAAATCTTATGGCGCCTATATGCCACTGTATCAGTACTTGTTGTTGGATGTGTTTGGTTGTGCGCTTTTGATTGCATTTATAGTGATTTGGTTACCGTTAAAAATTCTCAAATTTTTGGGTAGCCTGTTGCGGCGAAAAGAGCCTGAGGCGTTACGCAAAAAGCATCAGTAGAGCTGTGATGAAATTTTTTCTATGAAAAATTAATTTAATTTTAGAAAATTTAGTGTTACATGTAAAATTATGAACTAATTATAAGTTGGCGAAATTTTGTTAAATAATAAAACAATGTTATCGATATTAACATGCTTACGTAAAATATTTTTGAGCGAAATTCTTTACTTTCTCTCATGGTGTGGGAATTATAAAATCACTAAACGCTATCTAGAACAGCGAATCTACCCTTAATGATGGTGTCACAGCGCACGACCAGACCTTTCAGATTACATCTATAACTCTTCTTAGAAAAATCGGTAAGACTGCTCTCAGCGTTCAGAGTTTCACAAAGCTGTTATGAATATAAATTTTAGAAAAATTACATCCGTTCGAAACTGTCGTGTAAAATGTGTAAAGATAAAATATGTGTTGAAAAATTGTTATTAAAATTTTATTATTCGAGATCGTAATCGACACAATCTTATATACAATACAATCATATATAATTGAATCATGGTCTAAGTGTCGTGGCACATACCCAGCGGAGATTCTTATGAGCTACATTGCCTAGAAAACAAAACTTATGCGTGGTGGGGCATAAAGTTATGAATCAGATACCTCAAAAAAAGGCAAGCGTATACACTATGTTTCAAAAATTTGCCTTATCGAAAAATAAATTCATTATTGGGATTAGCCTGGCCCATAATAATCTCAACATTCAGGTCCCAAAAAAATTCAGTTCCACGTGAAAATCAAGTGATTTAACTAAAGCCCGATTATCTAGGTTCAAAAATACTTTTCGTACCGATTTATGAAATCTTAAGAAGAAAGTGCTCAATAAGCCATCACTAGTTTTCAAAGTTCAAATTTAAAAATAACGTATAAAGAGACACTTATATCGAATTACACATAATTAACCATTGAACTTCGCGTTCGATTACACGTGCAGCTATTTATTGTTAATTTTATTAAAATAAAAATCGGCTGAGCTCCAAAGCAATTAAATTATATATACATAGCTGTTTTTATGCCTACACAGTTGCCAACTATTATATTTAAATATTTAAGAATTCATTTAATTTGCAAAATATGTTTCTGTGACGACGCACGTTGTTTGCGATTTGCTGTGGTATCTGCCGATTTTCATCGAACCATCATTTCACAATGATCTTTTCACTGAAGCGTTATTTCCATGAAACCAATAGGGAGATATATAATAACGTAATGATGAAGTTCGAGAGAAAGTTCATTTGCTTCGGCGTTCTTGAACTGTGGTGTAATGATGTTCGATTAAATAGTTTTTACAAAATATATTGTAACTCGGCTCGTAGTAAACAAATTTATAAGATATTTCACGTAGTTTATCTCAGATGATTTTAGAAAAAAAAAAAATTAATATTAATTTTTTGTATGCTTTATGTCTAGAGAGATTAAAGACTGATAAGGTTGGCTATTTATCTGGTTTTAACTTTTTAGTTTTACTTATAAGACGGTTGGTTCTGCCAGTTTAAACACGAAGAAAAAAGAAATTGCTATTTTCTATTGAAATGCTTAACTGAAAAGCACCCAGAAAACGGAAAAAACTTATCGATCGCATTCTATTAGCTAGCTGGCTGATTGGATTTTACAAGAGATCCAGTAAATCTGTGATGGAACAAGTTTACGGACCCAAAATCGGCTACTAAAGAGTTGGTAAAATGGTTTCGAAAAAATTTGCTATATGACTGCGTTACAAGAAATTTGGCAAATTGTGTATAATTTATAAGATCGCTTTGATCTCCGATATGTGCGAAATAAAAAAAGTGCTTATTTCGGATTCCAATTTAATTTTGTGAATTGAGATTCTTATTATCAGCACACTTTAATGGTGCATAAAAATGAGAAATATTGAAGAATTATCTTTAATGAATGCCAAAGAAGCCGAAAACTTATCGCTAAACGCTTTAAAACTATATGACGATTGTAGGCTATATAAAAATACGACGATCACGCTGTTCCAAGAGCAAGATCATGTCGGTCTAAAAGTCAGATCACGCCGATGCTACAGAACAAAGTCCACTAGGTTATTGAATTGGTGATGCCAACAAATTCGGATCAAGTGCAATTAATTGAATGAAAGTATTTATTTGAGCCATGAGACCTTGACATCATTTTATCTCTTGCAAATCACGAAACTCAATGAAAAAGCGAAAGCTTAATTAGAAAATTTTTATTGAAAACTTGTTTTATTTTATTTCTTTAAGCTATTCGCACCCCGTCACTCCCATAAGATTTATTCACGTTAAATCGGCTTCGCAGTTTTTGTTGCAATCATTTTGTGTTTAACAAATTTTCGCAAGCAAATTTCTGGCAATTGTAAAATAAAATAAAACACATAAAATAAACAGTTAACAAAGAGCAACGAACCAAAGCCGCAGGGCAGCAGTGATTCACATATCCAAGCTATTGCTAAATCATATTATACACTAAGAGATTAGTTTAAACTCAAAATACTTAAGATTCTTAAGTGATATTATTGAAACACAATGTATCATTATTATTTTAATGTATGTGTGTTTTTGATAATTATGTATTATTATTAAGTATTTAATGATTTAATTGCTCATTGCTTAACGAAGTTTTATTTTCGCCGCCACTTTACGTTGTGGGTGATCACGCGACTTTGCGTTCGTCATTGATAAATCATTGCATATTTTGAGGCGCGGTCAGTTGAAGATTATTAACAATATTTTTAGAACCAAATTATTTAGTACAGAAAAATAATATAAAGTAATTATAAATAAACTGGCATACAAATAGCAGGAACTTAATTTAAAAAAAATATATATTCATTGCGATATGGAACTTGATCCTACCCGCCGAAATGGCTGGTTATATAAACCATGTTATTGGTATTGAATAAATTACCAAACAAGTTCCAATATCGAAAGTTCCCACAGAAAATGCTGAAGTATTGAGAATTTATTGCTTTCTTTTTAAAGTCCGACAGGTTAAGTGATCTTAAATTTGGAATTCGCATTGCAATTCCTTATTATTCCAATTTAATTCTAAAGTAATGTATGTAATGAAAATATATGCCTAGAAAATCTAACTAGAGCTTCTAATATATGAAAATCACTCAATTTCTTGACACTTTTTGAAAATTTGTAAATTGTGTTGCTTAAAGCTTGAAACAACCACACTATACGGGAATCCTCATTTACGTCGCATGTAAACCGTGAAATACGGATGAAAGCTTGTAATTATAATACATTAATATATAGCCGTAACAAAAGTGGTTTAGACTAGAAAAGTTTGTTTCCAAATCAAACGAAAACGCTTTAAGCTCATTAGATACATACATAGTTCCATAAAAATTTTGCTAGCATTCAAATAATTTTAGTTTAACTTGAATATATTTCTTGCCTTTTCAAAGATATTAAAGATGTTGCAGATGAATGTAAAGATTTCGTAAAAGAAGGTCTATGCAACATTGCATAATGGGTATAAATATTAATGTCGAATTTGCCATTCAGAATATTGTTTTTAAATAATAGTTGTCATTTATTTTTAAAACCATCAAAACAAGCCTTCATATACAAAATTTTCATTTAAGTAGCAATGTAAATAATTTTTATTGTTTCATTGACGCGTCCCATTTTGGCCTTTGTAAGTGAAAGAGAATAATAAAATTTCTTAAATAAGTTTACATTTACTTATATCCACAGCGACAGATAAAGTTTGTGAAAAAAGCACTCGTCACCCCAAATTCAATATCTGTCTAAACGGTAAGCTTCATTAAGGGTTTGAGTTTTGAGACCGATGGTGTGTGGTGTGTGAATAAATATTTAAACTAAGTACTGCAGCTAATAATAAAAAACGCTAATTAATCAAAGGTATTTACAAAATTTTATTTTAAATAAAAAATATACTAAATTTGTATAGAAAAATTCCTTAATCAGATAAAAACATAAAACATTTTATTAGAAAAATTCTTTAATTAAATAAAATCTATATAAAATTTTAATAGTAAAAATTTATAATTAAATAAAAATTTTACAACATTTTAATAGTAAAAATTTTTTAATTTTAAAAGAAAATAAAATATTTTAAAAGAAAAATTCTTTAATTAAATAAAAACATAAAACATTTTAATAGAAAATTTTTTTAATTAAATAAAATCTACATAAAATTTTAATAGTAAAAATTTTTAATTAAATAAAAATTATACAAAATTTTAATAGCAAAACATTTTTAATTAAATTAAAGGCATAAATAATTTTAATGGTAAAAATTTTTTAATTAAATTAAAGGCATAAATAATTTACATGTTAAAAATTGTATTTTAAATAAAAAATAATAATTATAAACAAAATGAGGGATTATATTTTCAATAATATAACTCATTATTTAGTGTTAACAAGGGATTTGTGTTTTAAAATAGTGTTTAAAAATAATATCAATACTTGTAATTGTGTTTGAGAAAAAAGTCTACGATATTAATCCAGTATGAAGAATTTTAAT